AGAGGAGCTATTGTCTTGATGTGAGCTTCTACTCAGGGTTTTTTCTTCCAGTTCAGAGCAGAAATTTTTTTGTTAAGAAACTGGCTGTTGTTTTTTTCCCCACAATTTTAATTATAAGCTAGATATATTTCTACTAATGAAATTAGTTTGCTAACAGCAACAGGGATGAGTCAGTTGGGCTTGTGAATCATGATTCACGAGTCAGTAAAGTGATTCTCGAGTATTGAATCGAACATCACTAATGAGCATCACGTTAGCAAAGGAAGGAGAGCCAAGCACGAAAGACGGCACCACAGAAAATGAGAAAATGAGGTGAAAAGAAAATGAGAGAATAAATGTCCCAGTAAGTAATATTAAGTTTGTTGAGTTTAGTAAACTTCGGTGAAATTAGAATACCAAGGAAAAAATAACACTTAAAGAATTATTGCAGCCGTAGTATATTTCAGACAGTAGGCTACTGGGGGGAGCTAGCATAAGAGTTATGAGTTATAAGATATAATCCAAGTCGTAACATTGCTGTGTGGAGCTGCAGATTTGGTTGCAGGTTAATACTGGCAGTGTCACCATGCCAGCTGACTGTACTTCATCACCAGCCAGTGTTGTTCTTTATACATCAATATTACTAAAGTTTACCATAAGGCAGCACTTACACTACACTGTGCGGTTTAGCTAATTTCTCTCATTACTTATCCTATCTGCCAGCTCCATGTTATGAATAGAGTGTAAATCCCCCCTGTGCCATGTTCAGTGCAGGGATGTGCAGTTCTGGATCTCAAGGCTCCTGTCCTCCCGGTTTCAGATGTTTCCATACTTCAACACAGCTGATTTAAAGAATCATTTACAGACTTCTGCACAACTAGGTGTTTGGGGATTATTTGATTTGAATTGGCTCTGTTGGTATAGGTAACATCTAAAACGCGCATGATAGGGGTCCATGAGGGCCAGAATTTGACATCCCTGACTTCTAGTCAAGGTCATACATCAGGAAAGTTGTTGTTTGTGACATAAGTTTTTGCTTTATTACTTCAGGGCCAACCAGTAGAGATAAAAGAAGAGAAAGAATGAAAAGATCTCAAAATGTTGAGAATTTCTTTCTTAAGAAGGCTAAAATACACCCAGAAGCAGAGAGCAATGTCAGGGAAAGGTGGACTGAGCAGCAGTCATCATTGTCACCTGTGAGTTCTATAAATGAAGGTATGTGTGAGAAGGAAAATGCAAGGAAGGGATGTTTATATTGTCAAGGTACTTGAGTAAATGTTCACTTTCAAAACATAAATATTTTGCAACTCCAAGTGCTGCTGTTTACAAATGTTTTTGTACTTCTTGTCTTCCTAACACGTAACAGACTCATATTAAAAGTTCAAGAAGTTTATTTTTGCACAATTTATACTGAAAACATTATCAAAAGAAGGCATAGAAAGTATTTACTTGCTTTCAGGTTTCATTCAAATGTTAGTCTTTTCATTTGTTTCCCCACTTTTTTCCTGTTTCAAAATCAAACACCAGTTTGTGAGAAGATGATTTTCTTTTTTTAATAGGCAGATAAAGTTTTGCATTGGGTAATTTGCCAATTGAATGTTAAAAATGTTCATATTTTAATATTCAAAAATGCTTTTGCTCAAAACATATGTGCACTATATGTCAGTAAAAATACTATGCAAATATTGCTGTCCTTGACTGCTGAATAAACACTGACAAAGCACTGATTGTATCTCTTTTACTTTATCAACACAGTATCTAAAAACTTTGCTCTGTAGTGGTTAAAATCTCATTCTAATAAGAGTTAAAAGCACATTTGGTTATTAGGTTTATAGGGTTATTGAATTATGGTTAACGGTTGGCAGAATTCTTTTTTAACATTATCTGCCAATTACATCAATTCAATTCAATTCTTTATTTATTTGTCACATGTAG